GCCTGTCATCCTGCTTTGTAGGTTTAATCTATGATCAAATATATATCTGTCAGAAAGGGTTTAAGTTATATATGTTATACTCACAGCTTTTATTTGAGAAAAAACTTTTTTTATCTTGTAGTTTTCTCAGTAAGTACCACGTTTGAGTGGGTGAACGTGTGTGTAGCATGTTGGCCCAGTAGATACAAGTGATTGCACATCTAAATTTGGGAAATACTAAGAACTCAAAACTACAAGTGTACTGATTGTCACTGACTGAATTCAAATGCCAGGTGACAGCAGACTAGAGACAGATCAATAAAAAAAATTGGCAATCAGTCCTATCTTTCTTCCTAATCAATTGCCAAGTGAGAAAATGAAGATGAAGCAGCAGCTACTAGAACAAGCTCACTGGAGCCCACAAGGTAGTTTTTTCAACTGTGAATACCCTTCTAAGTATTATTTTAAGGATTACAAGATTTTTAAGGGTAGATAAAAATGTGTTTATTTAAGTTAAGACGTGGTTGTTGTATTTTGTTAAATTTAAAATAGACGTTTACCAAAATAAAAACTGGTGTTGTTTAGTGGCCATCAACTGTCATGATTTCTAAGAATTGACTTTGACATGGGCCAATGAGAAACTCATATTGCTTGACCCTTGTACTGAAGGCAGCCCAGTGAGAGAACACAGATACATACAATACACTGATTCAGAAAAACTCCTAATTATATTATTATTTTTCCCAAAACTTAAAATCAGAAACAACTTGTTCTAATTTCCTGTAATTTTGCTAAGAAATGTTTGCCCAGTCTTCTTCGTGATGTCATTTTATAATGAGTTCGGCATTAAAAGCAAAACAACTTTGTATGTGACTGACTCAAGCACCACTCAGTGAGGAATGAAGAGAATCCATCATCTCACCTGTTTTGCTTCTGTGTAAGACGAGAAAACAAAGTACCATGTGTGCAATGAAGCATGTTGTATAAAAATGCCACGAGGATTATTTTGCAGTTTGTGGAACATTTGTTCTGTGTTTGCACTAGTGATGAATGTGATTACATTAAACCTCAGACGGGACAGCAAGAGACGAGGATATGTGTCAAGAGACACAGTAGGAAGGTCAGTTTAGCTGATTCCATGACGGAGGTGTGAATGAACACCTCATGATGGGGGTTTATACAATCAAGCAATAGAGGTGTTCAATCCATGTCCTCAAGGGCCACTCTCCTGCTTGTTTTGGATGTTTCTCTGCTTCAGCACACCTGGTTTGACTAAACTGGTAATTAACAGGCTTCTGCAGCGTTTGAGGCCCAGCTGAAGTGATAATTCAACAATGTAATTAAGTGTTTTGAAGGAGAAAAACAACTAAAACATGTAGGATTGTGACACTCCAGGACCAGAATCAGACCTAAATGATCTAGCTCGTTCTAAAGTGGGGTTATTTAGAAATGTAATGAAGGATTAGTATGTGACCTGTTGTTGTTGGCTGTTTGAACAACCTACATTTGTAGAAATCTTTTGATTCTGATTGGACTCACAAGCTAACAGCTAGTCTAAGTTGGGTCAAGACCAGCGTGAATCGCTGCTACTTTAATTAAAACAACTGCAATCTAAAAAAGAGTTTTTTTTTTTTTTTTGCAAATACATTTTTGAAACCTTTTCATCACAGCCAGTTTTGCATAAAAAGTAATTTAATTTACCATTTTCAGCTATATCCTATCCTTACCGTTCATTATTAAGTGCGTATGTACTTTTTACTGTCAAATGTTTCTATTCTGCATCATAGTGTGTGATGTGTATTTTATCTCTCTTGTTTTGTTTACTCGTGGACAGCACAGCAAACAGCTGTTGTACATTGCACAATTACATTAAAATAAATCATTTAATTCACATATTCTTTATTTATAGAGAACTATGGTTATTTGCAACCACAAAAATCATCATAAGCAGCATCTAGCTGTTACCCTTACAGTGCAGCCCAATGCACTTCTAATAGAAATATATATTTTAGCTGGAATAAAATTGACAGAGGAGCTGAGGTTTACAAAAGAGCATTTGAATGAACTGCTATGAATGTTTTTTTTTTTTTTTTTAGATGTTTTAATACAGCAGCAATCCACCTTGGTCTTGGTTTGCTTGGTCTAGCCGTTAGCCCATTATTGCAGTCAGAATTCAACTCAATTTCTCCAAACTGTTGTCAATCTACTACATTTGAGGAAGATATCCAGTGTACAGTACATAGCCTTTCCACATCTGAACTATAACACATGATCCCTTTAGCTTTAAAGCAAAGAGAACTACAAAACTCAAAGTGAACTTTCTGTAGTTTGGCTTCAAACACTAACTAGAAATATTTAAGAATAACTATTATTGCTAGCTTTGGTTTGCATGTATTTATTTTCTGGTATTGGACAGCAGACTAATACAGAGCAAAAAGAGTTGTTGCAGGTATACTTCTCAAAACTTAATATTCAGCTATGTTAGCTTTATAATACTAGCTGCTTTTAGCATATTTGTGCTTACGTTTTGTGAGTTTGTTATATTTATATATTCAAGCTAAAGATGTTGAGGTTCTCCTTAGGAGTGGCATAAGATTAGGAATGAGATCATCAGAGGTACAGCACAGGTTGAACAACTGGGAGATAAAGTTAGAGAGACCAGACTGAGATGGTTTGGACATGTCCAGAGGAAGGACAGTGGATATATTGGTAGAAGGATGTTAGAGATGCAGTTAGAGAGGACATGGAGGTAGCTGGAGTGAGGACAGAGGATGCAGAGGACAGAGTGACATGGAGGAGGATGACTCGCCGTGGAGACCCCTGAAGAGGGAAAACCTGAAAGAAGAGGTTGTTCATAAAAAAATAATTTCCCTTTAAGTTTATTTGTGTTAACTTGTATATTAGTTTACTCTTTAAATACTTTTTTCCACACCCAAATGACTCTCAATGACACTCAAATGAATAAATCAACAGGAAATATAACTGATAAAGGGCAAAACCTGCACATGAACATATTTTTGGGACAAAATAGCGAGAAAGGTTGGACAGTTTGAATCACTGGCAGTGATCTCTCAGATAGATGAATGGGTTTGGGTGCATATATTATATAAAAGTTGTTTTAAAGGGATGAGGGCAGAGATGTGTTTGTAGGATATTGTGCTAGTAACGTTGAGCCTCACAGAAGACAGTTGGTGTGTATTGGAGAGACAGAACCAGAGATGGAGTTCCTCGTCAGAAAGAAAGAGAAAGAGGTCTTACATGAATCTGTGCCGAGTCCAGAGTGGAGAAGGTTACAAGCTCAGTGTGAATGTGTATGTGGCCATGTGTGTGTTCGAAAGTGCACAGGGGAAGGATGGTCTGTGCCATCTGTCTCCCCCTCGTCTCACCGAGACACTAATTACAAGACTTTACACTTCACTCCACCACCCTCATCAGTGGACTGACTACACACACTGTGAAATGTACCGTGGACCCTCATGTACTTTCTGCCAATATTTCATCTCAGTCTCTTTTCCTCTTTCCAGTCTACATGCTTTCCTTTTCCATAATGATTTTTCATCTCATCATCTCTGTTATTTTCTCACTGGATTTCTCTGTTGCCTTTTTTACTTATTCTGTTTCCTCAATATCAGTTTATGTAGTTCACAGATGATCAATGCTGCCGAGCTATAACTTTGTGTCATTGATCTGTGGAGTTGGAAGCTAATCACATAGTGCAAACACATCAAATATTTAACAAACAAAGAAGAATTTGAGAGCTTTTATATTTCTGACGGGTACAAAAAAGGGAAGAAGATAAAAGCGGAGAGAATTAGACATTAGAGAGGGAAATCCTGTCAAATTCTTTGCCAATGTGCACAACTCTTCATTAGCATAAATTCCAGGTCACCCACTTTCTCTGGCAAAGAAAGGGGTGCCACATTGGGGATATGCTTTCTGTGACATAAATTTGAGCTGCTTTGGGTGGCCCAGAAGGAGTGGAGTTACTGTAGTGGGCATGGGGTTTTAAGTGAAGAGGGTATCAGGTTGTTGTTTTTCTTGAAAAATATATCTCAAAGATATTTTCTAAATCTCATCTTTCCCAACTCCTCTCTGCTACACACGTTCATTCAATATATTCCAGGTCCCTCTTGTAAACGTGTCCTCAGTGTGACTAACCTGTATAAATAAAGGTTGAATGAAAAAAAACCTCTACAAACTTCTAAGGTTTCACAACAAGGCCTAATTAGGCCTGTGGCGATAAACAATAAATCAATTAGTCGCATGATAAATGAAAATTATCAACCTCATTTTCATTTATCGGCTTTATCATTTCTTCGTGTCTCTTTCTACTGAAAACACTGGATGACAAAAGGCTCAACTCCGGTGCTCTTCACTGACCCCTCACTTTCTTTTTTCTCTTTAAAATCTGTTTTACCTGTCCAAAATCTCGTTTTTGGATCGTTAAAAGCAGCTAAGCTGAGAAGCTAAGCTACGAGCTAAGCTAACAGGCCGACCTCGGGGAAAAAAACCTCCGTCTTGTCGAAGCTCCAAAATTCACGGTTGAAACCGGAGCTTTTGTCTAAAAAGTTGTTTTCTCTGCAAAAAGAAGCTGAGAACTTGTTTACTGGTTTTTGATTAAAAGCTTTGTGTGAAAAAGGCTAAATGCTAAAAATGCTATAGAGTTCAAACTACACAAAGCATCTGCCATTTGGAGAACCAAAGAGAGACAGCCCATGTCGGCCTCCCTCCCATTTTTCTTAAAGAGACACGCTGCTCGCTCCCTCACTATCCATCCTTCAGCTCAAACAGTCTTAAACTGCCATTCAGTGGTCGAAAAAAGGTACTTTATGCAAAACAAATGAACATTTCTTCTTAAATTTGACATTAGTTACTAATTATTGTCAAATTTCAAACAATATTATCGTTTAAAGCAATAATTTCTGAGACACTTGATCACCCAGAAAAATTTGTTATCATGACAGGCCTAGGCCTAATGTTATTAAACCCTTTCCACTTGTGTCCTTTTTGTTATTTTCCAGGCAACTATGGTGAAAGTGGGATGGAAGCATTTAAAGACATGGCAGCTAAGGAGGGTATCTGCATCGCCCACTCAGGTAGAGGAGAACATAAAGAGAACAATAACCATTCAACATTTTTTCTGATTATTATACTGTATACAATACATATTAATTAAGAGGTAAAAAAGTGAAAATTAAAGACTGCAAAGTAATTTAACGTCGATTGAAGACAAAAGTAAAACTGCCACTATTTGTACACCCACTGCAGTGTGTTGTTTTCACGTGGAGAAGAGCACTCCTGGCAGTTATTATTTTTGTCCATTTACTCCCACACATAATGTTGTCAACGCTAATGTACTGGTGCATAATTTTTAATTACCTCCAGCAGACACGAGATGAGGGGTATCTTGTAATAAAAGTCATGTTGTAAAACGAGGGCTTTAATCCCTCGAGAAGGTTCCCACTTCACATTTGTGTCAGCTGGTTGACACTTGAGCAAAATAAAAGGCATACCACAAAAAAAGTCAACTCTATACATGAAGGAACAGAGACATAAATAAATCATGTGGGTCACAGACTTATATTTGTTCGTGTTTTTATCCCCCCAGGCAAAATCTGGAGTAACGCCGGCGAGCAGAGCTTTGATCGTCTGCTGGAGAGACTGAGGGCGCACCTGCCCAAGGCCAGAGTAGTGGCATGTTTTTGTGAAGGCATGACTGTTCGCAACATCCTCATGGCCATGAGACGTCAGGCGCTGGTTGGAGAGTTCCTGCTTATCGGCAGGTCAGTTTGGATTCAAAAGGATTTTTTGGTTATGTTGACTGATCTTAGATGTGCAATGTTTCTCACAAGAAAAACTCTTATTGTGCATCCTGAAAGCTTCAAGAAAGGCTGCACAAAATAAACCTGCAAAATAAACAAAACCATTACTTTACTAGCAACATTCAGAAACAAAATAACCTACTGAAACAGTTTTGGTCAAAGACACGTGCAAAGGTATTTCATTAAAGTACATTTTTCATAAATAAAACACCCCTCCAAAAATTATTTAGAAAATTGATTTCACTTCATGCTTCAGTTTCAGGCAGGTTTATTCCTCAACAATGCGTTTGCACAAATAATCTCGTGAATAAACATTTCTTTTGTTGTGTTGATGCAGGCTTCATGGCCTTTTGAGTTTTGGTTGTCATGCCAACCGTTTAATTAACATTTGATGAATAATAATTTTAGTACCCATGTCAGCCAGTCTGCACAGAACAAATAGATTTTGAATAGGATGAGAACAGTGATTACTATTAAAATACCAAAACTATAATATTTTTCTATTCTACTTCTCCTCAGTGCTGTGTAATTAAATCATCGTAGCCCACATCGTTTATGTTGTCATCGCCAGCATGATGCTCATTATCATCTCACTCATCTTGCTCATCATTCTCCTCATCATCACCATCATCGTCATCATCCTCCAGCAACTGAGGTAAAATTTTAAACCCCAAGTTTTTCATCTGTCTAGCTTCTATAGACGAAAGTGAAGTGAGAAAGAGATGCATCTTAAAACAGGTGCAACATTACAATATTTATTTTTGTTGATTTTTAGGTTAACTAGTCGGCTCAAAATAGCCAAGCTGGAGAAGAAGAAAACATTTTTTTCCTCATGTATAAGCCAGCGACTTTTTCTATCATTGACGACATCTTGCAGATTTGACATAAACCTCTAACATAAAATTAAAATCAATCTCACAATTAAAATACTCAAATGCTCCTGTGTTGTAACGCATAACTAGAAGGATGGTGAGATCGATTTTAGGTATGCACGATATTATCGGCATGGTATCGGCCGATATTAGCATTAAAGTTCAATATCGGACATCGGCCATTCCATTAAAATAACTCTCCGATATAAAAGGAGGTGTTTTGCCTGCAGTGGCAGCACGTGATGACGTCGCAGCACAACACAATGATGTCACATGCGCCTACTCGATCTCACGGCGGAGAGGAAATTTCAAAATGTCGGCGGTGTGGAAGTTTTATTTTTCGTTGGTGAGGATGTCGGATTTCGAAGATTTATGGACCACGTTGAGCCTCACTACATCGTCCCCAGTTGGAGATATTTTTCTGATGTAACGTTACCCGAGTTACAAGCCATCATTTCCGACGTCACTGAGAAGCTAATAACCGATAGCACGATTTGTTGGGTAAAGGGTGAGTTTTACCACAGACATTTGGACGTCGTGTTAGCCCCGTTAGCATGATTAGTCTTACGGAACAACGGATAGACAAAAACTTTGAACTTAGAAAGTCTGTCCTTCATGCACAGGAGTGCAGAGGATCCCACACTGCAGCTATAGGAACCTGGAACAAGCCTCCACAAGTGAGACAGCATCACAGGTGACTAATGCTAATAAATAATATTTAACACTTTTCATTTAATATAAGTTAAAGTGCTATGCATATCATATGGCTGTTACTGAATATATGTCACCAGCTCTTAAAGCTGTTGCACAATTTTTGTAGCAAATAATCTTAAATAAGAGGAATATGTTCTGACAAAGGAACGTATATAAAATATCGTTATCGGCATCAGTTATCGGCCAAATAAGTTTTAGTATATCGGTATATTGGATATCGGCCAAAAATCTAATATCGTGCATCCCTAATAGATTTTCTTCCCATTTTGATCAGATCATGAACAACATGGCTATTTAACAATGTTGTCAATGTTTCACTTGTCATGTTTTCTAGAAAATCCAACAAATTAAGTTGGGTCCTCTGAATGGTTTCTTTTTGTTGAAACGTTTTGTCTTTCATCCTAAATACTTCATCAGTCCAAGGAACCACAACAAACTCGGTCTTTTAAGTAGCACCCTCACATAGTGGGTCAACCAGGTGCTCAGATTTCAACAAAAAGAAACCGTCCAGAGGACCTGACTTAACTTTGTGGGATTTTTGACCCGAGTATGAACTTTGATGTTCTCTAGAAATATTAGCTGGCTGACAGTTTTGCTGGCAAAAGTCAGGTCAACCTGTTGCACTGTCACAGTTTCCTTTTTTTTTTTTTTAACTTAACACGATGTCAAAACCTCACAAACCTTAGCACACACTCATAAATTCAAACTGTGCGTTTCTCATTTTGACTTTAATTAGGAAAAGAAAGTTGCTGAAGCTAACCTATTATTTGTCAGTGAAAATTGAACTTAATGATTTGTTCAAAAGAATATTTTGGTATTTGTCTTCTGGTCCTCTGTCTCTGGACAGTTGACTTTGATTCTGTCAGTAATTGAATATTAGCTTTCATTAGCATCTATATCATGAACGGACTGCTGTTACAAATTAGAGCTGGTCATGGGTGGGTGCCCAGCTCACTGGAGGTCTTTGGAAGAACCATCTGATTAAGCCAGTTGGGCAGACACTCATTTAACACCAGTATAATTACATTACCACAGGAGCATACAGATGATGATGAAACAGATTATTCTGCTTCTCTGCATTGAGAGTTTAGAAATACTTGACAATCTTGAAATTGTGTTTTAGCCACTAGAAAAGCTAAATGCACCACATGGCAAAAAAGGGTTGACACTGGGAGTGCTAGCTTCTTATAGTTTTCCTGGCGGTGTTCAGACCTCAGCTTTTGTCTGGTTCGTCAGTGTTGTGTCTTGATTACTTTTATAAGATGTCAGATCATGTTATGATTGTCTGTACTCACCTAAACCTTTGAAGCCAAACTGATGTAGAGCACAGTGGGATTAGCTAATGTGATTTTATGGCTTTATTTATATTTGCTGAGTAATCGAATGTAAACTGTTCGATTTAACTTATCTTAAAACATTTTAGTCAGATTATTTAGATGAAAATGTTTGTCGTTATAGCTAAATACAGGATGCTAGTTATATGCTGGGACATTCACACACGCACACAGAGTTAAGTGAAAAAAGCATTTGTTTTACTAGCATCACTCCATGTCACATCTGTTGAAACTGATATGTATATTTAATCATAACGTTTTAAATAATAATAAAATAATGAGACAATAAGAATGATCTAATCAGAATGAAGAAGTCCTTTGAATAAAAGATTAAATGTTTCAACTAGGGATAAACCAATCCACATTTTATAAACTTCCGATCCAGTCCCGATACCTAAATCTGGATATCTGTCGATACAGATACTGTTCCGATACCGTTCTGATATCATCATCATTATTAACTTTATATGAGGCTGTAATAAACTCCTCTCTACAGGCAAGTACGCTTTAGCTGGCTACAAACTATGAAATGGATTTCCTGAATGTGAGGCGGGTCTTATTACTCTGGGTTTATTGAGACATGTCTCCGTTCAGGAAATCCAGTCCATAGTTTGAAGCCAACGAGACATTTCAGCAGACACAGACATGCACCGTGGATTGGAAATCTCTGCAGGTTGGATCGGAAAATTCAGATAGATAAATTATGCCGATACTGATTCTGGATCAGATCGTCCCCATCCCTAGCTTCAACAAAGACGAATCTGCCCAGAGGACCTGACTTCAAGTTGGTTATTATAGTAGTAATAATAATAATAATAATAATAATAATAATAATAATAATAATAATAATAATAATAATAATAATAATAATAATGTGATTACTTTGGTAATCCCCAATGGGGAAATTCATTTTTTAATTCAAATTCATTCAAGATTTTTCCAATTCCACATGTGCGCACACACGCAGAGCGGAGGGTGCCACGCAAGATCCAAGAGCAGCAGCTGGCGTGTTAAGAGCCTTGCTCAAGGGCCCACAGTGGGGGAAATAAGGGTGGAGGCAGATGTGGATTTTTCACCGGTCCCACACAAATTTTATATGCTGATCTGGGTATTGTAGTTGGCAACTTCCCAATACACTTTCTCTAACCTCTGCACCACCACGCCTCCTTATTTCTTTATTTCACAAATTGTTTGTCAAATCTGATCTAACGAACAGGAACTTCACTACTTTACGCTCCATATAGTGTGTGTTCAAATCCATTTCTTAAGTAAATTTAAATGAACTTTTTGAAACATATTTTCATTATGGTGGAGCAGATAAAATAGCCTGCATATAGTAATGCCAGGATAATACACATGGACATGGATAGGACACTGTGGACTCTTAACAAAATTAAGTGTACACTGCATTGACATTGTGCTTTAACGAAACACTAAGGTCACTAATTTGTTGTTGAGAAATTGGAGCATTGCCGTTCATTTATTTTTTTAATAAAGGATGACCCGTTGCTTTGTTTTAAAGTGGTTCTTGTCATAAATTGTTGTTTTGCTTTATTCTATCCTTCTTACGAAAATTCCTAAATACCTAAATCCGCTCCTCGGGCTGACTAACCAAAAACTAATTCACACAAACAAACATGCGCACTGAACTGTGTAGAGACACATACACACTTTTCTGCCTTGGTATATTGATTGCTTTGGTCCTTTAAATCCTTGTGGTGCCACAGGGCTACAGACCCATTAATGAGTAGCTGGGCTGAGATAAATAACCGTTGCCACACTGGAGACATAGATAGCATCCCTGTCCCCACACACATACACAGATATGTGTTTAAAGAGCACAAATATGCTCTCTGTCTTATTAGAGTTTAAACAGATTCTCTTTTAATTGCCTTTTATTTAGAAGATCATCTTTTTACTGAGACTCAGGTGGTCTTACTAATGGCAGATCCAGATTTGTGTGAGCTATAATTTAGTTAACATCTTCTAACCAGTCATAAGAAGTAGAGCAGTTTGGTTTAATAGCTATGATTTATGTGGC